ATGAGAAAGGAGAGGAGACGAATGCTGGTAACGTGGGTGCAGGCTCTTGGGAGGGGCCTGTTGCTTTCCTGGTGCCCTTCACAGGGCTGATTCCTGCTCCCTGTGGCAGCCCTTGTGGAGGGCCTGCCTGGTGGCTCGTGGAGCTGGTGGGTTGTGGAGGCAGGAGGAGGGGGTCCCAGCATGGGGAGCTGGAGGAGCTGCCTCTGGAGGTGCAGGTCTGCAATGGTGGCAGGTGTGCAGGCCCCCAACTTCCTGGGGGACCCTTGAACTCCATCTCCCATGCAGGGCAGGCACCAGGCAGCCTTGGAGCATCATTTTGCTCAGGTTTTAATACCATAGGGTCATGATGGATGAGAGCTAGCTCCTATGTGAGAAGTTTGGGGGAGCCTTAGGGGCTCCAAGCCTGGCGCTTGGGGCAGGATGGTGTTCCCCTGTCCCAGTGAGGGGGTTGGCCTGACCCTGGTCCTTCCTGCATGCTACCTAGCTAATGCAGCCCTAATGTGTTGAGCCCTGCACTGCATATCTTCCCCTCTGCCCCATCAGCTGATGGCTTTGCCCTCCTTGCAGCATCAGGGCTCACAACTCAAGATCCCACCCCCACCCCTATCCCTGCCAGCCAGCTCCGCAGGGGGGTGGTGATGGCTGGGGCATGTGCCCATCTCCTGAGTGAGGAATGCTGATGGGGTGGCCTCAGAGCAAGGGGGCTGTCGAGCTGCTCTTGGGCCCTAGCAGCCAGGCCCTCAAACACCCATCTTCTCCCTCCCAGACCTGCCAGGCCCTGTGAACGGCGAATCCATGTCCCAGAAAGGGGAGACCGCTGAGGAGAAGGAGCAGGACAAAGCGGCAGGAGCAGGCGACAGTCAGCGCGAGGCCCCCACCGAGGACACGCACAACGAGTGAGTAGCAAGCACTGGGAGGGCAGGGCCTGCTCGCACCTGCCTGGGGAGCTCTGAGCACTGGCCTTTCACTTGGCAGGGGTGGCCATGTGCTGCTATCTGGGGCCACGGCACCTCTCCAGGGCAAGTGCCTATTCACAAGAGCACTGAGGCCGGACCTGCTCTGGGGACGGTGGTCCTGCTAGCCCAGCCTCTCTGGGCCTGTGCCATTTCCCCCTCCCCCCCCCCACAACTCC